ATATCATGACAAGATTCTAATCATCTTCTTTTGAGTTTGTTCGAAGAATGAAAGATTTGATATTTCCTCTAATATTTGTTTCTTGTTAATATCCAACTTAGCTATTATAATTTATCCGAACAAGACTTATGATCTTATTACATGGGATTTGGTTATAATCCGAACCAAATTCCGAGCTAGGTCCGAAGATATCTGAAATTAGTATAATAGGTTAATTTTATTTTATATGTCAAGGTAATTTAGATATTTTATTGTATTCAAAAGAATTTTGTAATTTGTTTATTTTTTTACTTTGAATATCATTTAGTTAGTTAGATAGTGTAACTAATTTCAAATAAGATTTAAGAATAATTTAAATATTTTTTGTCAGTTTTGAGATTTTAAAAATATTTTTTGGGACGATTTCAGATTTTGGTTACAATCCGATCCAAACCGAATTTGGAAGGAACCGAACTGAATCCGATTCGATAATTAGTAAAACCCGAATGAGACTGAAGAGCATAATATCAAAAATTTTAAAATCCGGATCAATCGAATCGAAACTGACGAACCTCCGAACGCCCTTGCATATGATATATTTAAGAGACCAACATTCGTATTCGTCATTTTACAATCGATAAAGATTATAATGTTACAAAATATTAAAACCGAACAAACATTAATATGAAAAAACGCACCCGCACATGTGCGCGAGTATCATCTAGTTTAATTTTAGTTAGATGACTTTCAGGAAAGTCTTCCGCCTTTTCTCGATTTAAATTCCTGGATTCTGGTCAAAGCTTTGGTTATTGAAGAAGACTTCCACGGAAATCTTCTACGAGAAGACTTCCACAAAAGTCTTCTCTAAGAGAGTCAAATATGGCCAATTACAAAAGTAACCTACGCGGACTTCCACCGACTGTGCAAAATTAACCTATTTATCCGATCTTCTCTGGTATTTCCGAGAATTTTTGAATTACAAAAGTACGCCAATATTTATAAAGGAAGAGTTCTTAAAAAGTCTGCTGTAGGGTTAATCAATATTTATAATATGGATTCTAAGAGCATGTCCATCCATAGACACCCCTTATGGGTGCTTTAGATTAGTTTAAGAATAAAAATGGGCTTTTGAAAGTTTGAGAACCTTTGATAGTGCTAATTAAATTTCTGACCTCCAATGGGAGAACCCCTATGGGATTCTTAATTTTTTTTTTTTATTATAAATAGAATGATTTAAATAAAACATACATAGAAGTTTTAATAAAAAGGACATAAAAGCATATTAGAAATACAAATACATCTTCACTTTCATCACTCTCTTGCTCATGAACTGTTGTTCGAACTTCATTCCCTGCAGCTTTATTGATTTGCCAAAAGAAAGGATTTATTGAGACTAAGTAGTCATATATATGCTAATAAATGGATCGATAAATTAATTAAGAAGATGATTGAGACTTAGTCATATATATGCTAATAAATTGATCAATTGTTACTGATAGAAGTGGAAGGGAAATGGAAACTGTAATCCACAAGGTAGTATCAAGGACAGAGATAAGCTCCATCAACGTCAAAAATCAGCTTCACAAAATAAGGAATTGTATGAATTCTACTTCAACATAATGCTGTTATTGTTAAGCAGCTGGCAATAATCAGGAACAGAGAGATAGTCTAATCAATTTGTTGAAGGAATTTTCATGATATAGTAAAGGGTAAACCCCATTGAAGATACCTTTACTTTGTACGCCTTGCCCTTTCTTGGACTTGCCCGTTGCCAAACTGCAACACCATTTTCTGGAATGATGGTTTCACCAACTATCCACGAAGACGGGAGGGTGCTCTAAGGCAAGGACACAGCTAGCTGCTTCTTGGCACCATCTGTTTTCCATACTGCAATATATCTTTCACCAACTGCAGTGAGAGGATGTATTTGCCATCCTCGGTAAACGCCACACAACGCACACCTCTCTATATAAGAAATAGAAACTATTAGCCACCTTCAATTTTTAAAATAGAGGTAGCCTCCTAACAGTAAAACATGATACTCACAGGATGACCAGTAAACTTCTGTACTTTCTTGAGATCAGAGCACTTAAAAGTCTTCAATTGAGCAGATGCAGTGGCTAATATTTTTCCATCTAGCAAAAAACAGCAGCAGCAGGTAAGTACATATTGTTGCAGACTATGCATTTTAACAGAAACTTTTAAGTTAGTCAAAATATATTTGAAGTTAAGAATGAATCTGATTCATCATCGTGGAGTTAAGAATGAATCTGATTCATCATCAGTGAAGTCAGAGATCAGAAAACACACACATTTTAATGATAAAATTTAACAAACTTGTGTTTGAAAGAGTAATCAAGTTTTACCACTGCATCAATGTCAGAAAAGGCCATCTCATCTTCACCATCTACATCTCTTCCCTCAGAGCCATTAGCCTTTATCATCCTCTGAAGCGATTGTTGTCTCAGTAACAGTTATCAAAGTATTAACAACATCCCTAGAACACCAAATGCGAAGCATAAATTTAGTAACTACAAAAATAAGCTATCTTTACAAGACCCACAACAAAAAAGAAACAAACTTTGAAGATACAAAGAGAGTTTTTGTTATTACCTGACCAGTAGCTACAAGATTCTTCGATGGATGAAAGTCGAGACCAACGCGTTGGCTCCCAAATCGATCTCCATCACAAGAAATATGTGTTGGCTCCCAAATCAATCTCCATCACAATAAATACGAAGGATGAAAGTCGAGAGCATCGATGGCGAAGAGAGGAGTCGTCGGGAACAGAGAGAAAAAAGCCGGAAAGAACCGAGATAATCATCTCCTCTCCAAACCGATCACCATCGATTTCCATCACCAGAGTTTTCTCGAGAAATCGTCTGAGAGAGAGAGAAGAAAACAGAACTTTTGATCCGAGATCGAAAGAAAACGAAGAAAGTGGTCACCGTTTTTCAAGCCTATCAGAACATGCCACGTATGGGGTTATTACAACTTCTACCGCCTTCTCTTAAAGACGCGGTTCTGTGTTTTTTTTTCATTTTTCATTTATTTTTTCCCTTTTCTTTTTGAAGAACTTTTCATTATTACCCCCGATGGAGCTGGTCTAAGAACCTTTGCCTATGAGATTCCACAAAAAATTTAGACTCCACAAATTACTTATACTATATAATATATACATATATATATATATATATAATACATATTATAAGAGCTCAAATGGGAAGAACCCCCATTAGAGGTGGTCTAAGGTTTTTCAAAAAAATAGAAAACACGTTGTCGAGTTCGCCCTAGTCACTTCTCTTAGACACGATTCTTGAGACAAACTTGGTTCATTCACTTTCCGGCGCCGGTGGAGCGTGAGCTCGCCGGCGTCAGGACTCCTTAATCTCCCTTTGCTACATCTTTGTTTCTCTTTTCTTCATTGACCTTGCATTCCTTGTTCTTTTGTTTCTTGCGTTTTTGGTGAGAGATCTATGGTGGGTTGGCTTTTGGGACTTGCGACGGAGAAGAAGCTCACTGGATCTGTACCTCTCAGTGTTGTTATCTATTTGGTTTATCATTCTCTCACCGTTGAACTCGCAAACTCTTAAAATCAATGCTGCTCACTGCATCTCGGGTACTAGCCTCGATGAACTTTCAACAAGAGCTTCATACTCTTCAATGCTAATGAAGACATAGATTGTTTATTCTCTCTGGAGATCCTTTTCTCAGTTGTGCTTTATATTTTCTCAGATAGAGCTGTCAATCACCTATTCCTGGATCTTCCAGCCACCAGATCAGAAGAACGACTGACAGCTAACACATTTAACATGTTTGGCTTACTCAAAGGTGATATTTTCTCTTTAAAGAAGACCCTTTCTGCTGGGTTATGGTGTTCACGGCTCATGTATCTGGTGGTCCCTCTCTATTTTATAGATAATCATGTTTGTAGTTTGGTGCTTTACTGAAAAATTATCACAGTGATAAAGACCCATAGAGAAGACCCACAAACCCAGGATTGTTTATCGCTGCCTTACTCTATTGTTAGCTCTAGTGGAATCTTCTCAAAATCCCCACTCAAAAGGGAGAGCAGCAGAGGAGCACAACTGAAGTTCCTTTGTGATTTCGATGGGTCTTGGATAGATTTCAAAATGTTCATCGATCAACCAGCGACTGTTTTTATAAACTCAAGCTTACACACTGCATTGGTTCTCAAGATTCACAAAAAGGTTGATGATTTTTGCCCGATAATGTTAACCACTATGCTTAAGATTAGTCAAACTTCCTCTCGTCAGAACCAAGAGAGATCCCTTTCCACATCCTTCTTTTCCAAGGAGAGAATTATTTCACGAAAACCCTCTTATTAAGAGGCAACCCTCCCCCAGTACTAAAAATCCGGGAAAACTATCAATTTCTGAACCGTTTGTTATCTTGTGTGAAGGTTCACTTGGGGCCGGTAGATGAAATGATCCTCATTCAAATGAGAATTAAGGTTATGGATGGTGTTACGAAGTCGCTTGTCATTGCGACTAATCCTTTGTTATTTGAAGATTTAGAAGTGCGGTTTGAGTCTTTTCAGATTTGATTACATGTGGCAACTTTTAAATGTTGCATAACGTTCTATCAAACTTTTTAAAACTTGTGTATTTATACTTTTATTCCCTTGAACTATGTGTCAGAGTTTTAATTTATTGGTTTTCACATCGTGGTTTGTACGATGTATCTACTACTCTTGTAATCATTTGGATTTAGTAATGAAGACTTTGGTGCAAAAAAAACATGTAGAATTTTGAATATAAAATAAAACTGATAAAATCATAAGAAATAGTCTGATCTTTATCAGAGGAATGGAGGAGATTAAGAGAAGAAATTGTTGAAGCCTAAAGCAACAAAATGGGTGTGCATTCTTTTATTGACATTATTTTGTTGTTTTATCTTTAAACATTCAATAGAAAAAAGAGTAGCACTTGATGTTACATAGACTTTTGACTGAAAAAATTCAAATAAAAAGTATAACATTTATTTAGCCATTAAATATATTAAATATTTAGGACCGGCTTAGATATAAAAGGGTAAAACTCAAACCTAAAAGTACAAGTCCCACCCACAAATCTTGCTCCCCGTGTATCACTCAAGCAATCTTGAAACCGTAAGCTATTAAAAACCAAACATTCCTTACAAGCTGTGGCTGGTAAGTCATATGTACACTGCACCATTCCATACATCATATCACCCTTGTACGACGTCTCCCCCGCAGCGAACATTGTGTAATTATCTTTACTGCGAGTGGCCGTCGCTAAAGTCGTCAGATTGTCCATGAGAGTTTTCCAAGTCCTTGTAAAAGCGAGCTTATCTCCTCCCAACTTCTTCGCGTTGGACATACAAAAGTTATTGTCGTAATCGATCTGCCCAATAGTATCTTTAGAAGTAATGGAGAGAAGACACTGGTCATACCAAATTATCATGCCCTTGTACCACGGACATTTCCTACGAAGCTGTAATATACATTTTAAATATCACGCCACAATCAGTGAAGAGATTGCACGAGACCATTTAAACATATAATCAATAGTTATTTTTCTTCTATGTACATTTTAAAAAAAATAACTAAACAATAAGACATTACCACAGCGAGGGCGGTGGCAAAGCAGTCGTGGCACTTGGTCCCGTAGGAGTCGGCGCGGCACTGGAGGATAGCGTTATCATTACTCATTCCGAACAGGTAGAAACCTCTGTAACTGCCGCTGTATAACAATTTGATGACATTATTTAAATGTGTCTCGTATTCACTTCCCGGCTTGTATTTTCCTTGACTAACCAAACATTTGTGGTTGAGATACTCATTAGTCGTGTTTAAGGGCAATTCACTGCTTATAGGGAGTAGTTGTATGGCTAAGAAATTGATCCAAATGAGGCGTTTTAGTACAGACGATGAAGAATCCATTGTTTTGGATTATTTTTCTCAAAGAGGGTTTTTACATAGATGATTCGTTGCGATTGATGTTTATGTAAGAGACTCAGAGGGATTCAACAGATATATGCTGTTTATATATATGGTTTATATTTTAGAGTGCCTTTTTACGAAATTTGTTTGAAAAGTGCAGTTTGTGGAAAACAATGTTTACACTTTGTAAGGAGAAAAGAGAAGAGTTAAAGGTTGAGAATTATTTGCGGCGACTAGAGGGCAGACAAAAATGTAAAAGTTCAGACGTGTGACTTAGTTTATTAGCGTAGAGAGATGAAAGGAAAATATCTTCATTAAGATTAATGTGTGTACAATATTCACTATATATACAAGTGTTTAATTAACTACCCTAACTACTCATTTACAACTATTATTAACACTAATTAATAGTCCCCCTTAAGATGGCGTTAGAAGATGAAAACCCATCTTAGACATGAGTTTATGAAACAGAGTAGGACAAAGTGGTTTTGTGAACAGATCCAAGCTGATTTTCTGATCTCACATAAAGTGTCTTGATTTGGCCTGCAATTATCCTCTCTCGTCAGGTGGGTATTTTATCCAATACCTGAATCCATATCTGAATCCGATCCGGAAAACCCGAATCAAAATCCGAACCAAAGTATCAAAATATCCGAATGGATATTCAGTAAGGAGAGATTGGATATCCGAACCCAAACGGGTAATAACCATACCTGAATAGATATTCAAAGATAACCGGACATATACATACGTAATCATATATTCCTAGTTTACATCTCCTTTTTATCAAAATATTTATATTAATGTTGTTCATGTCTCAAAATAAGATAATATATATATAACTAGATATTACCGCGCAATAGCGCCGGTGGCTAATCCTTTCTACATATATGTTTCAAAATAAAATAAAATTCTTTTATATTAGAAAAAAAACAATTACATTCACATATGTAGTCAAGGCTTCGAATCTATTAACAAAATATAGATTTATGAAATCACATGTATCTTATCATTATATAACAGAAAATGCATGGATGTAAATAGATTAAAAGTTTTTTTTTTTCAAAATATTGTAAAATCGATAACAGTACTAACATGTAAAATGACAAAGTCAACATATAAGATGGGAGAGTGATAATCTGCATAACAATTATTATGATTAACTAAGATAGTTTAATTAACAGTTGGCATGAATCTAGTCACCAATGTCATTTTCACGTTCTTCAGTGGTAAGAAGATTACCTAGCCTTTCTTTTGCTCTATTAGAAAAATAATAACCAAAACTTATCCGTGAAGAAGATTAAACTCAAGAACATTGAAAGTTTTTCACAGAAAACTGAAAGAAAAATATCATAATGCTCACATTCGTTATTTATTTTGTCTTCCTAAGAATAAGTACTTAAAAATTGATTATAATTAGACGATCACTTATTATTACCTAAGAAAAAAGGAGAAAGTAGTAATATACCTTAAAAATCATTTATATAACAGAATCATAGAATTTTATTATTAACTCAACTGTTGTTGACAATACTTTAATTTCCATTTGTTTTTTGAAGAACAAAGCTGAGGAAATTCAGTTGACATACTTCAACGTGAATCATGCCAAAATGAGTAGTTATAAATTTGTATCAATTTTTTTGAATTTAATGTGAGTGTACCTTATCATCCACAAGGATAGTTTTCATCCCGAGAACAACTTGAAGTTTATTTTTGGGATAGTAGTCACTAATTTGAGAGACTGCACTATGATTTTCCATTCTTTGTAGCTGAATTGAGCTGAGAAATAAAAGTATACTCCAATGGCATCTTCTACCTAAGTTCTGCAGAAAGAGAGAAATGATTAAGTATTAGAGAAGAAGCGAAGAATATTTTAAGAAAATTGATAGAAAAGATGATGAAGAGAGAGAGAGAGAGATGAAACGATGGTGAAAAAAAGAAGAGATGAAACGATAGTGAAAAAGAGAAAGCAAATAATATGTAAACTAACTTCATGGTTGATCGTGTGATGATGGTGGTAAGTTGAGAATAATTAGAAAATTAGTTTGTGTGATAAAAACGTGGGTGGTTATCCATGTTTGTCTCTTTTTATTGTTAAACTAGTATTATGGCCCCTGCTATGCAGGGGCAAAACTATAGTCAAATTGAAGATTAAATAAGAACATTACACTAACTGTAATAAGATTATATCAGTAGAAACTTGCATATTATAATGGATAGAAGTATAGAACTCTATCCATAAAAGTATAGAACTCTATGTAGAAAAGTTTTTCTCCAAGGAAATGCACCTATATCAATAGGTTTGTTCTAGTGTTTAATAGAAGACTGGTTTGACCATAAAACATTTTTATCATTACACAAACTTGAAAGGAAAGCGTACAAAAATATTTAAATGCTTGTAAAAAGTGAAAAAAATGAATATATATGAATTTTATCTACGATTTTCATTCTCATTGTTAACAACAATAATGCATGCATTAACAACGAATTTTAAATAACCATGGATCTCAATTGCAAAATTTCAAACATGATGAGAAACAAAATAATTAAGCTTAATTTTTTTAATTAAATATATTTCTCATATGAGAACCTAAGATGCTTTTTGTGATGTGGTTGTTAGTGTTACACTGAATTATGATTGGCGTTGCGTAGTCTGTCATTCTTCTAAGAACAAACAAAAAAAAAAAATTCACCACGGATGATTTCACATTCCTTCGCCGGGGAAAGGTACTCCCAAAAAAAAAATCTTTAAAGGAAGAGAATGGCTTTAAACACACATTTTAGAAAAGAAAAAGAGAAGGACAAAACATGACTATACCTTGTATGGTTGTATCTACTTTGCATTGACCAAGTAACTTGTAAATTTTATTGCCCTCTGATGCAGCGAACCCTAATTCATAAGACACTGCATTTCTTATTTCTAGTCGATAGTTGTGTTTGACGTTTTCCAAAATTTTTTTGATATAATTAATTTACAGATTCTCAAATTAGAGGTACCAGATTATTTAGATCGTGGGAGAGTGGAGATAGTGGCACAACTGTTTTGCTGAAAAATATAGAACAAATGTTTCTAATAATGGAATACCAAAGTACACTTTTTACCATAAAATTGTGAAACAACGAAATTTTTTTCAAAACAATTAAAATTATGGAAAATTTAGATGCCACATGTCGTTCACAGAATTGTCAATTGACTTCTGTTTTATTGTATAAAGGATTAATTTATATCAAATATTGTATATACAAAAATATTTTAAAATATAATTGACAAAAACTCGTGGAAAAATTTATATTAATAAACATAGAAAAGGCAATAATCCCCTAGACTATATTTGCGAAGTGATTTTGAAGAAAAATATAACATGGCATAGTCTCGAATGAGTCTCACCAACAAAAAATATGACATGGTACATTCAAAAATATGACATGGCATATTTGAAACCCTAATATGATATGCATCGATTTATGATCAATCATTGTCAGATCCATATAAAAGTGATTACATTAATATATTTATGAATATTTATGTCCTTATTTAATTCATATATGACATAAAAAGGATAATTTCCTCAAATAAGAACCGATTCATTTGCTAAAAAAAGAAAATTACATAAATTTTGGTATATTTCACAAGTTATCAAACCAACCAAACGATGGAGAAGTTGAGATCGATATTCCTGAATATTTGCTCATAAATGAATGCGAAAATCTAATAGAAGCCATAGTGAAAAAAGTTTACGGTACATCATTTGCAGAGGAAAGATATCCCAAGTTTTTTCAGGAAAGAGCCATATTGAATCCACGGAATTAAGATGTTGATACTACTAATGAGTATATGATGTCAAAATTATCAGGTACCATTTTAATTTTATAAATTACATCTTTCGTTACTAGAAACAATGAATATAGTCTTATATACACTAATTAATATTGTTAATAGGTGCAGAAAAAATATATCCCAGTTCCGATAGTATAGATAACAGTGACAAAGAACCAAAGGATACCATGTGTTACTCTCAGAAGTTCTTAAATAGCATAAAGATCTATGGATTGCCAAACCACTCTTTGAAGTTAAAGGTTGGTGCAATAATTATGCTGCTCAGAAACATCGATCCTAAAGGTGGTTTATGTAATGGTACAAGGCTGTAAATTACTCAGTTGGCTGATCAAGTTATTGAGGCTATAATTATAACAGGTAATAGGAATGACAGAGAAGCCGGTGAAAGAGTCTTAATACCAAGAATGTTTGTATCTCCGCAAGAAACAAGATTCCCTTTCAGGATGCGTTGTAGACAATTCCTCATTGCGGTTGCTTTTGCAATGACAATAAACAAGAGTCAAGGTCAAACACTACAGAGAGTTGGATTGTATCTTCCAAGACAAGTTTTTACTCATGGACAGTTGTATGTTGCGGTCTCAAGAGTAAAATCAATATCAGGCTTGAAAATTCTAATCACAGATAAGACGGTAAGTCTCTAAGAAAAACAATGAATGTCGTGTACAAGAAGATCTTTCAAAACATTGCCCAAGTCTCAGCTTTTGTTGTCCCGGCGTATGATCACTTTAATTGTTTAATACGTTATGAAATTTTGTAATACGAGAACTTTGTGATCCAACGGCATAATCAAATAAAACAACTCTTTCGATACATCAAAGCTTCATAGCATAGAAGTCACTACATCTTTAGCATGTTCATCTTCGTCAAATAAACAACTTCACCCATGTGCATCCATAATCAAATATTACTAGGTGATCCGCGCGTGCGCATGCGCGGGTTTAATTGTATTGTTTTTATTCTATTTCCACACAAAATTTATATGTTACATCTATACATTAAATCCAAATATACAACTATAAAAATTAAACAATACAATTAAATCCGCGCATGCGCGCGGACGGATCACCTAGTAATATTTGATTATGGATGCACATGGGTGAAAGTAATTCTTCACAAAAATGTGAATTTGTATCATTGTAGAAGAAAGTAGATTATTTATATA